CATGCATGGCTTCCTTCTGCAGGTAGACGCGCTCTGGCGGCGGTCTCGTTCAGGATCCGAAAATAAAATTTAAATATTTTGCACACTTATTCCACTTATTCCTAGTGTGCCACTGGTTACGGTGGTTGCCGACCCCTGCTCTACACTGTTGAGAGCTCTTGGTTCTCCTTCACATTATCTTAACATTGAAGTGGTGGTGTCTTACTTCTCCATGCCTCTGGCTCTGAGAAGCTCCCTCAGCTCATCCAGATCAATGCAGCTCTTACTCTGGTTCAGCTCCGCCTTAGCACCTTTGAACTTATCTATGGAGGAGAAACATCATCAAGTCCACATTTGAAAAAAAATTCAGAACTCAGTACATTGCTTGCAGTTATATTTAGTATATCAGCAATAGTAATGTAGTGCTGCAGTGCCTGAGGTGTGGGCAGCACATGAAGGTCAAGCCACTTACTTTTGTGGATGACCATCTGCTCCAGCTTCCTCTTGGCTGAGGCCTTCTCCAGGATCTTCTGGTCGATGGTGTTGGCCGTCACCAGCCGGTACACCACCACTGGTTTGGTTTGTCCGATTCTGTGGCAGCGGTCCTGGGCCTGAAGGTCAGCCTGAGGGTTCTGAGAGGGGATGGAAGCATTAGCACACACCAACACTCACATATTAAGGAAAATCTGACATCACCCTGCACGCACCCAGTCACTGTCGAAGATGATAACAGTGTCAGCAGCGGTCAGGTTGATCCCAAGTCCTCCCGCTCTGGTGCTCAGCAGGAACAGAAATACATCTGGATCTTTAGAGAACTTGGTCATCTGGGGAGAAAAGGGTCAGATAGTTAGTAATGACAGAAACACCATCCTTATTGGTTAAATATAAATGCTTAGCATTTTACACTTGTCAAAACTCACATTTTCATCTCTTTCAGAGAAGGACATGCTGCCATCAAGCCGGCTGTACTGGTAGCCCCGCAGATAGCAGTAATCCATCAAAAGATCCAAGATGGACGTCATCTGACTGAAAATCAGAACCTGGAGCCACACATCAATCAATTCCTTGTACGACCACTGGCTATAATGGTGCAAGAATGTGTATTCAGCAAGTACACATTTCACTTTTCTCTAGCTACATTGTAAGGAAATGGTAATTGAAAATGCCACCTTGAAAAGGTTTGGTTATTTGAAGATCTGTGTATAATATCTCGTTATTGTCAGATGTAAATTAATTCAAGTTTAATGCAAATATTCTATAAATCTTATATTTGATACATACATAGGAGTGGTGGGGGTAGGCCTGGGCATTATGAATAGCCCTACATGTTTTAATATAAAAATCATACTGGTGTGATCATTATTGATATAGACAAGAATTCTGGCTCCCACAGATCGGTTGCATAAGTCCTCTTCCTTTAAAAAAGTACTCCTAATATCAACTTGTTACCTGTATAAAAAGACACCTATCCACAGAATCAATCAATCAGATTCCAACCTCTCCACCATGGGCAAGACTAAAGAGCTGTCTAAGGCCCTGGTATCCGCTACAGTTCTCCATCGTATGGACGGTTCGTTCACACAACGCCGTAACGGAACCGCGGAAACGGAGTCCTCAAACGATAACGGGTCCCAAGATGGACGGAACGCTCTGGGGGGCCAAACGGCTCCGTGTGTACGCCCTATACGATCATTCCCTGCCTCTCCCCACCTCTCCTGCTCACCCTAATCTAATCGGACAGGAGAGCGAGAGAGATCAGAGATCAGCTGCTGCTGACGGAGACACGCAGCTCTGCATGATCACCTGCAGCTCCGCCCGCTGTGATGGAGTGGTGAGCGGAGTAAAACACACACTTCAAGTTAGATCATCACACTTTAATGACCTCTCAAACTACCTAAACTAGTTATGAATATGTTTATTTTTACTGTCTGGTCACTCATTACTGGATCAGCCAGCTGCATGAGACGGATACTGACGGGCTGTCAGGAGAGGAGGAGGAAAAGAGAGGCGCTTTATTATGGGTGTGGGGGAAAATTCTGTAGTAATGGAGAGTCAGGACTCAGAGACACAAGGAGAGCTGGAGCTTTGATGGCAAACACTGACGGTTTATTTGGAGCTTCGGCCGGAGAATTCACAAGACATGTCACGTCTGACCACACGGTTGGCTCCGGGTCATCTACACCCTGAGAAGGATGTGTTCCAGGTTTTCCACAACAATAACTATCTCTCACCGAGAGTTGCCCGGCCATAAACTGGTAACAACAACAACTTGCTAGGGCAGCCCCTCCTGAAGGGAGTTAACGGCTGATCAAGGTTGGTCTGCTGCGTCAGAGGGCAAAAGGTAAACATGTAGGGCGAAATTATTCCCTGACAACCGGCACGTTTCTAATTTTGTCCGGAAGATTAAAACTTTAACGGACATGTTGACCGGCGGAAAAAAATGCTAACGTAAACTCTGCCGCACGGTTCCCTCGTCCCTTGGAAGAGGCGGAGAGGTGGGTGTTTTTCATCTGCTGGTGGACTACCGGGGAGCCAGGCTCAGAGTTAGTGGCGGTGGGTGCGGTGCACCTTCCTTTTACAGCAGGAGCACATGCTCGCCTCGGGGAGGGAGAAAAAGAGAAACAGAGGCGGCCGAAACAGCTCGAGCCCTGCTGCTCACCCAAATCTACAGCTCTACCACAACCATTAGCAACAAGTGGACATGGAGAACTACATGTTGCTAAATCCACCGCGGAGAATAAACAGAAGGGCAACCAGGCAACCATGCTCCGGAGGTCTTCTTCGCTGCGTTTGGTGTATTTTCTGACGGAAGTACAGCGCCACTTACATATATACACACATATGTATGTATGTATGTATGTATGTATATATATATATACATATATGTATATATATATATATATACATATACACACATATATACACATACATATACACATATACACACATATATATACATATATATATACACACATATATACACACATATATATATACACACATATATACACATATATATA